TCTCCAGGCAAGAACAGTGGAGTGGGTTGCCATTTCCTTCTCCAATGCATGAAAGTGAAAAGTGAAAGTCAAGTCGTTCAGTCATGTCCGACTCTTAGCGATCCCATGGACTGCAGCCTACCAGGCTCCTCCGTCCATGGAGTTTTCCAGGCAAGATCTTTACCACTGAGCCACCTGGAAAGCCCTTAGAACACAAATAAAACCCCACTGCAGCTGGAAGAAGGGGAAAGAAAGGTCCTCTATCCAAGTGGAGGCAGGAAAATATTATGAACCCAGACTGCTACAGTCTTCCTAAAGCTGGGAAAGCGGGTCCTAGACCCTCTAGACTCTGGGTCCCAAAGCATTCCTAAAACCGAAGCTGAGTCAGAACAAGAAAAAAATGAACCACGGACAAACACTGAGTAACAAGTAACGTGGTCTATTGCTGAAGGACGTGCAAAGAGAAACGTTTTCTGAGACATAAGCACAAAGGAAAGATCTACAGCTGAGGATGAAACAAACACTAACTCTAGAGGAGTCTGAGCCTCTAATGCCTTGAGGAAAAGAAGAGCAATTGCCAAAGCCAAAGCCAGTTCAACTCCTGTCGAGACTAAATCAAGCCCTCCCCTGTCCCACCAAGAGCCCAGCAAAAACAAGATGGGCTCATGTGCAGGTACAAATACAATTTATCTCAATCTTTACTGTCCTAAACAAGATGTCCAACATACAAAAAGAATGAAAACACACTGTCAAGAACAAAAACCAAATAATATAACTAGAGTAAGAGAGACCCAGATATTGGAACCATTAGCTAAGGAATTAAGACAACTATTATTTTTGCTTGAAGTTCTCAAGGAAGATCTGCAAGACAACAGGCAAAACAGACAGGGATTACAGCAAAGAGACAGAAACCATCAGAAAGAATCCAGAAGAAATGCTACAAACCAAAAACATGACAAAGGAGATAAAGTCCATTTACAAATGGCTCATCAACAGACTCAACACAGCCAAGGAAGCAGGCAGTGAACTTGAAAACAGATCAACAGAAAATATCCAAACTGAAACACAAAAAGAAAAAAAAAGGGAGGGGGATAAAATAGAACACCAACCTAGAATAGTGAGAAATTTTCATATTGTCTAACATACATGCAATAGGAGTTCTAGAAAGAGTAGAAAAATAAAATGAGGCAGAGGATATATTTGAAAAGAAAATGTCTTAAGAATTTTCCAAAATTGATGGCAGAAGTCAAACCAGAGATCCAAGAAATGCAGCAAACAACTAACAGAATTAACACCAAATAAAACATTTAAAATAAAACTGCTGAAAATAAAAAATGAAGCAAAAATCTTAAAGGTGGCCAAGGAGATTTAAAAAAAAAGATATATAACCTATAGAAGACCAAAGATACAAGTAACAGCAGAGTTCTCAGAAACCAAGGAAATGAGAAGGCAATGATATAGAAGGTGTGATATAGTTAACATGGTAAAAGAAAAAAAATCAAATAATGAAAAAAAAAAAAACTATACCAACTGAAAATAACTTTCAAACCTGAAACAGAAATAAACATTTTTTTCAGGCAAACAAAATCTAAGAAAATTCAAAGCCAACAGACCTGCAATGCTAGATATGTTTAAAGGAAGTTCTTTAGGCAGAAGGACTACACCAACCAAAAAGCTGAAATGAGTAATACTGGAAATATCATAAGTGAAGGCAGATATGAAATTAATTTTTTATTTTAATTGCTATAAAGATATTATAGCAAAAATAGTAGCAGTATATTGTGTGCTTACAGTATAGTGAAAGTAAAATGTATGAAAACAATGGAGGGAAGTATTAGAGATATACTGTACTAAGGGATTACCAGTGTTAAATGGTATATTATTTGAAGATAAGACTCCATTAATTAAAGATGTATATGATAAACCCAGGGCAACCACTGGAAAAAATTAAGAGATATAAATTTCCAGTCAATAATGAAGATAAAATGTAATTATAAAAATAATCCAAAAGAAGGCAGAAAAAGAAAAACTACATAAGATCTAGCAAGATACAAGATTTTAATCCAAACATATTAACAATTAATTAAATATAAATGGTCTTACAAACCACTACAAAGACAGAGACTATCAGATTGGATATGAAAACAAGACCCAACTAAACCCAATCTATTAAAACCATCACAGTAAACGTGACTGAGAGGAGCCTGGGCAGCTAAAGGAGTCTTGGTAGTATCAGACAGTGTGTGCCTCAGAGCCAGGCGTATCAGCGTGGATAACAAAAGGGCATTTAATAATGAAATCTTAACTAGTCACCTCAGTAAGAACTTTAAAACACATAAAGCGAAAACCAACAGAAACGAGAGGACAAATACACACACAATTATAGTTGGAGAGTGTGATACCCCTCTTTCAGTAACTGGTAGAATGAGCAGACGGAACACCACAAAGCCCATAGAAGACCTGAACAACACCATGAACAATCTTGATGGTTGCAGATCACACCATGTACAGAAGCAGAATACACACGCACAGTACATGGAGAATACATGCACATGAGGAAATCAGCAAATAGAGCATATACGGGCTCAAAAACCAAATCTTAACAAATGTAAAATAATTGAAGTTATTAAATATATATTGTCAGACAATAATTTACACAAGTATTAACTCAAAATAGATCACAGATCTAAATATAAAACCTAAAATTATACAACATCTGAAACAAAACATAAAATCTTCGTGACCTTGGCTGAGGCAAAGATCGCTCAGCTATGATACCAAAAGCCTGATTCATAAAAGAAAAAGTGTAAAATCCAGATTTCATCAGAATTAAAAATCTTCTTTAAAAATGCTGTTGAGAGAATGAAAAAGCAAACAACAAATTGAGATGCAATTTTTGCATATGGCATATCTGATAAAGGATTTCTATCCAACACACATAAATAATTCTCAAAAGCCTTAATTATTTTTTTAAAAAATGAGTAGAGGTGAACAGACATCATGAAAGAAAGTATATGGATGGCTAACACATACTTAAAAATATACTCGCATCATTAACCATTAGAGAAATGCAAAGCAAAACAATACTGATAAACATCTACATACCTACTAGAGTAGCTATAATTTAAAAACAAAATCTGATAATACTAAGCGCTGCCAAGATGCAACTGGGACTTCACACAGTTTATGGGAATGCAAGATGATACAGCCACCTTGAAACTGTTGGTTTGGAAGTTTCTTATAAAGTAAATAAACATACACTTACCATATGACCCAACAATCCCACTCCTAGATATTTTATCTCAGAAATATTTCATACAAAATCTATACACGAATATTTACAGTGACTTTTTTTGTAATCACTAAAACCTGAAAACAATCCCAAATGTCCTTCAATCAGGGAATGAATAAACAGACTGTGGTATATCTACATAGTGGATTACTACCTACCAATAAGAAAGGAACCATCAATACACCCAACAACACAGATGAATCCCAAACGCAAATACATATGTGAAAGAAGTAAATTTAAAATGCTACATACTTTGTCATTTTACTTATATGGGATTCTGAAAAAGGCAAAAAACACAGAACATAAAACACATCAGTGGTTGTCAGGGACTAAAGATGGAAGAAGGAGTTGACTAAAGAACATGATAGAATTTTTGGAGTGATGTAATATTCCCTGGATTTCTTGACTGTGGTGATAGTTACAGACCAGTCAGTTGGTGTTTATCAGAACTCTCAGAACTGTACACTAAAATGGATGAATCTTATACTTAACTTTAGAGTACAGGAAAAATGCTACACATTTTTAAGATATTTCATGCTACCTCATTTTAAAAAAAATTTTAACTAGACTTTATTAAATCTTAAGACACCTTGAAGACTTCCTCCATACCAAAAATACACTGACTTTATTGAAAATAAAAATGACTATTGTAGTATGGCAAAGTCCACAATGTGTCTTCGTTGCCTGACTTCTGTAAACATTCCAAGGCTCTAGATTCTACAGGGTTGGGTTAGGCTTTGCACCCTCAGGCTTCCACACTTTATTTAGCTAACGTAAAGGTTAATATCTATGAACTCTCCAACTAGGAAGCTGGGATTAATAGGCTGTGGAAGGGAAATGTGACAGAATTGTTTAAATTTGCATTCTACCTTAAGACTTCTTTCTGACCCACAATAATAATATGAAAGCCTTCCCTCAATGTCCACAGGGGACTGGTTCGAGGACACTCCACTGACACCAAAATCCGTGGTGCTCAAGTCCCTTACACAAAATGGCAAAGTGCAATGAACGGCCCTCTCTGTGTACGTTAAACCTGAAAATACAGAGGGCTGACGTATACTTATTGAAAAACTCCACTTGTGAACAGACCTGTGCAGTTCAAACCCATGTTGTTCAAGGGTCAATTGAAGTTTCACACAAGAAAAGTAAGAGGGAGAGCATACTGTAAACAGGGAAGGATGAATAACTTTTTATATGTCAAAACCAAACCAGATACTAAGAAATAATTACGACATCATAGCAAATAGGCTCTGACTTCAATTTCTAAATGTCTAGGATTTCCTAGCATTAGCTAGGAATTAGCTAGTATTAGCCTTCTTGGTAATGTAATATATATATATATATATATATATATATTTTTTTTTTTTTTTTTTTTGCCATGTTGCACAGCCTATGGGATCTCAGTTCCCCAACCAGGGATCAAAAAGCACAAAGTCTTAACCACTGGGTCAACAGGAAAGTCCCCAAAAATGTTTTTAATGGAAAGGTTCTACTTATTCAAAAGAATTCACAAAGATTAAAAATGAAAACAAGAAAGCATTTGTGGCCTTGACAAAGAATAATTCATTCAACAAGAATGCTGACTAAATATTAATCATTACTTAGGCACTGACTGAGCATTGTGTAAGCACTGTGTAGTATCCAATGCTGAACAAACTAAATATAATACCAGCAAAGTGCTGTTTTTAAAGATATAGCACACTTCTGTTTTTTCATAGAGTATATTTACCTCAAAGCCAAGTCTATCCTTTTCTTTCCAAAAACAAAAATGTGTTACTTTCTTATCCCAGAATTCATCTGGCTTCACTACACAAACAAGGGACACTTCAGCTGGAACAACATTCTATAAAATACAAAAAAAAAAAAAGAAACAATTATACATGTAAAGTGAGTAATTTGCTGAAGTTGTAAATTATTAGGTATTCATGACTGAGCTGAGCAATTAAGAGACCTCTGGAAAATAATTAAAGTGGTAAAATACAAGAAAATGCTGCAAACCGCAAAACATACATGGCAATAAAGAAATATTCGAAAGACAAGCTGATTCAGAAAACAATGTTTAAAGACAGCACGTGTGAATTATTTTTGTGTTTTACTGAATCTCTAATAGGAATATATTTGAACTGCAAGATAATTTTTAGTTGAGAAGTTATTAAATTTGACTTTTCTATGATATGAAAAAAAATTTTTCTAACACAATCATCTTAGAGAATTTCTTCCAATATTGTAAATCAATTTTCTAACAAAATAAGCTTCTTATACCATTATACAAAGAAGCCAAGATTCTACATGATTATTAACTTGAAGAAGAGGACAAAGCTAAACCTCCACAAATACAATTTCACATTTGCTAGATACAGTTATTCACATAATCACCTAAAGAATGGAAATTAACATTTACTGAGCTAATATATATTCCATACATATTTTATCAGCAAGTCCCATAGAGTCTATTTTTAAAATATATCTTAATTAAACCTACCCATTTCTACCACCTACATTGCTAATATCCCCAAACAAGTCAGCTTTTTGAAACCCTCTTAGCAGGCCTCCCAGTTTTGCATTTTTTCATAGTCAGAATAAAATCCAAACCCCTTAGCAGAGCCAAGAAGCCCTCCCAGCTCAAGGCCCCATGACCTCAGACCTCATCACACAGCTCTCCCCTCTTAGCTCAGTCCTCCGCCACAGCCACGCTGACCTGCTTGCTGCTCCTGGAATGTGACAAATCTGTTCCCAGCTCAAGACTATGCCCTTGATGTTTCCTCTGCCTGGAATGTTCTTTGCCTTATACCTAGGAGCACTTTCTCAGTTTATTTAGGATTCTACTCAAACAGTACCTCCTCTTTAGAGAGACTTTCTCTGACCACCCTACATAAAGCAGCAACATTTGACTCAGTCTCCTTTCACCATTTTTCTAAATAGCATTTATCAGTATATGATGTTACATTACTTGGTAATTTGCCTAACTGCTCACAGTCTGACTCCTCAGACAGAATACAGGCTTCCCAATGGCAGGTACCTCATCTATCATGGCAGTCCTGTATCTCCAGGGCCTATGACAGTGCCTGGCATACAGAAGATGCTCCATGAATCTCTGCTGAATAAATGAATTCACATTAACAAGTGGATCTCATCCTTCCAATTTTACAGAAGCATAAACTGAGCTTGAGAGAACTAAAGTAATTTGTCTAAAGGAACGGAGTTTGAAGGAATAGAACTAGAACAAAAACCAGGTCAGTCTGACTCTCAAGTTTTACCATAACATTCCAAACATTCTAGACTGGGGGTCAGTAAATTCTTTCTCTAGGTCCAGATAAAAAGTATTTTAGTCTCGGTTGCAACTATTTTTATTCTGTCCACATAGTGTGAAAGCTGCCATAAACAATATGTAAACAAAACTCTGTTTACAAACTCTAGAGGTCAACCACTGTTCTAGACCAAAATAGCACAACTGAATAATAATAATGCTATATGATTATAAGTGTTATTATTATTGATCAGGGGAAAACAGAAAACCTTTCAATTTAAATATCTCACTGGACATGTCACAAATCTAGTGTCCCCTGCAATGACTGGGTTATGAATAAAGTTAAAAAAAAAAAAAAAACTCAATGCTATCAAAACTTTTATCAGAGGGGGTGGGAAATTTAGAGTAGAATGAGGTTTATTTAAAAAAAAAAGAATGAGGTTTATTTATATAATGATTATGGAAATCAAATATTCAAAATCATTGAGTATTAGAGCTGTTAGGAACAAAAGAAAATAAGCCAGTCATTTCAGAGAATATTTGTACAGGCAGAGCTAGCACTAAGCTCTGGGCTCCCAAACGGCTGGTTCCAGCACCTTCAGAAATAAAAGCAACATAACTAACTTTGTATGCAGAAACTATTTGATGAGGAGTAAACAACAAGCCATTGCAATTTCTGAAAATATAACTATTAATAAAATCACAAGTTGTTAAAACACATGTCAGAATAGAAATCACAAGAGGGGATTAAATCATCCATTGACTGTTCTTCAAAACTGCCACTGACCAAAGTCCAGTTCATACAGCAAGTCCCAAACAGCTCACTGGTGACACAGCTGAATGGAAGAACACAAGGTCGTAATTAACGGTTTTCTCACCTAATAGTTATTTTAACAATTTGCACAGAGAAGAGAGAATCTTCAGGGTTTAGAATATAAAAGTACTGGGAACATATTTAACAGAAAGAGTTTACTAATGGGACACCAATCTGTGTTCCCTTAAAAACTGATCCACTGGAGCCTATGTCCTTTCCAACCCAAAGGAGGGAGTCTAATGATGAAGGTTTAGGCCAAACAATCAAAAATAAGGTAATGGGCAAAAAATTTGGGAACCATCTCGGATACATCCCACTGCTAAATATACACTTTTAAAGGGGCTTAGGCTGTTCCAGGTTCCAACTGTGACTTTCTCCCATGTTCACCACAGAACATAGGTAAGTTATTTAAAATCCTTGGAAGACTTTTGAGGATAACAGAACTTGTTTTCCAAGTTTGTGAGGATGAAATTAAATGAGATCATTTATATATAACAAGCTTACTACATAGTACCTGAACCATACTAAGCACTAAAACTGAAATTATGAGTACCCATTCCTTGAGATTCTTTTTCTAATTATCATAAACAAAAAATAATCCATTAACAATCATTCTGCCTAGTTGTCATTTAAAATTTTAAATTATATTCCTTTCCATAGAATCCTAAAGTAACTACTGATTATTTCCCAGGTCATTTAAAATTCTTGCTCTTTCTTTCAATATCACTGATACTTACTTAATTGAATGTTCACCTTCCATGTAACAGTCAACATACCTTCCCCAAACTAGCCTGCCACCAGCTTCTTTTATTGTATTCACTTAATTTTTCAGCTATCACTAAATCAGCCAGGAATGCCCTTTTCACTTTCTTTATTTTAAATTAGATAATCTCTTTAACTCACTTGACTTTAACTTTCTACAAAAACCCTTTTAAAGAAATCCAGGTACATGAGAACAATCTGTCCCCTTTCAACCACTCATTTGTTGTATTTGTCCCAATATCCTCAATACTCTCATAGTAAATCAACAAATATCTACTAGGTACCTACTACATGCAAGGGATTACAGAAACATTCTGTGAGGAACACAAGGAAATATAAGACTAGGACCCAGACAAGGGATTCTGTAGCCACAGCTGTTTATTAAATGCTTGTCTGGGAGCTGCTGAAGTCCCCAAGGACACAGCTAAAGTTGATTACATTTCTTCTAAATTAGAAACAGATATGACTATCACAAATTCTGATGATTTTTGGAGGAAAGAGGAAAACAGAAGGGAGAAACCTATCAGAATTCTCAGCTTAGACTTACCCAGTTCTACTCCCTCCTTGAGTTGGGATGATGCAAACACTACAGCGTTCGAGAGTGCCCAGATGAGTCTGATAACCTCTGCCCTCACATTTTGAGACTCACTGGCTTCAATGCTTAGATTACTTAAACATGACATATTATTTTTGGTTATTTACATACCTTTAGAATAGGGCCGAAATTTATTTTACTACTCAAGTAAAACCTATAAAGATTGAATCTGAACAATTCAACACTGATCTGTGCATTTCAGAACTCAGTCACTGCTTAGAAGCTTGGGCACAGTGCAATAAATGAAATGCATTTGCCACTATCATCTAATCTGTTGCTGTAAAATAAAACCTCTTCCTGATAGCCAAAAATAAAATTACCTGTAGCATTAAGACTACTGTTTTCACCACATTCCATTGGGATTTTCTGCCATCCACAATCACGGTAAATCCTCTAGCCTTACACTTCTCACTGAAACAAAACAAAATTACAGAGTATATTAAAATAAGCTTCCTATTTTAGTCTTCAAAATCCTAAATAAAGTTTACAGCTGAATCATATATGGCACAGCATTAATTTCACTTGATTTGGTTTGCACTGTCAACAAAATTCTTCAGGGTGTCCTTTCAGTTTTCTCAAGCAATTTACTTTTCTCACTTCAGGAAACATCAACAATTTATAAGCTAATTTGGTGAGAAAATTACTCTAAAAGCATGTAAATTCAACTTCTTAATACAAGAAAAAAATCAAACCAACATTCAAAGAGCCTCACTAGCCCCTCAACCTGCTCATCTGTAAAATGGGATCATAGTAATGACTGCCAAGTATAGATGTACTTCTTATCTCTCCTTCCTGCCAAGAGTATAAGGTTGTGAAGTGATATTTCAAAAACAGGTAGAAAATAAAGCAAGCTATTATTAAACCTTTAAAAAGCAGAAACATTACTTTGCCAACAAAGGTCTGTCTAGTCAAAGCAATTTTTCCAGGAGTCATGTATGGATGTGAGAGTTGGACCATAAGCCAAAGCTGAGCACCAAAGAATTGATGCTTTTGAACTGTGGTGCTGGAGAAGACTCCTGAGAGTCCCTCGGCTGCAAGGAGATCAAACCAGTCAATCCTAAAGGAAATCAACCCCAAATATTCATTGAAAGGACTAATACTAAAGCTCCAATACTTTGGCCACCTGATGCAAAGAACTGACTCAATGGAAAAGACCTGATGCTGAGAAAGACTGAAGGTAGGAGGAGAAGGGGATGACAGCGGATGAGATGGCTGGATGGCATCACCGACTCGATGGACACGAGTTTGAGCAAGCTCCGGGAATTGCTGAAGGACAGGAAAGCCTGGCATGCTGCAGTCCATAGCGTTGCAAAGAGTCAGACATGACTGAGCTACTGAACTGAACTGATTACTAAACCACTGGAAATGAGGTCCTTGTGTTCTCTGGGAGAAAGTTAAAGAGGTGAAATTTGGTGCATATAATAATTCCAAGCTCGGATACACCGTGTCAGACCTACCTCTGTTCTCGCTTTTGCCCTTAGTCGTTAACCAGAAAATCCTGAATGCTGGAAAATGTGTTATTGCTATATATTATATTCAATTATTCAAGTACCAGCTAAATACCTCCCAGAAGCCTGCCCTAGTAAAATACAACAACTACATGGAAAAACTCTATCATAAGTCAAAAACTACCTAGCTTTATTATTATTACTACTTGTTTTACTATAAAACCAACTTAATGCAAGGATCTCAACTGCCCTCCCTCTAATATAGTGCAAGAAACTTCAGATTTGCCTAACAGAGCAAGGATTTGGTAGTGAAAATTCTCCCCAAAGTTATCCCAAGTGCCTACATTATAGGAAAGGTTAATAGGAGGCCTCTCCTGAGATTTAAATCCAACAGTCCAGGGAATTTTACTAATTCTCCCTTACTCTCTCCAAGCACTCACACTAACCTCTAGAGGATTACTGGAGAAGTGATATCCAATTCTACTGAGAAACAGTAAGGTCACAAGAATGAGGACAATATTGCTAAAGACCTGAAGAAGAACAGGTGCTTCAGTAAGCGGGGATAGAAGCTGAGCTTTCAAAGAGAAGAGAGAAATGTTAAAGAGGTGAGGCAAATGGAAACACATGTCCATACAAAACACCTTCCCACAAATGTTCATAGCAGCACAATTCATAAGAGCCAAAATCTGAAACAACTTAAATTTTCAAAAACTGATGAATGGAAAAACAAAATGTGGTAACCATTCAATAGAGTATTATTCAATCATAAAAAGAAATGAAGTGCTGATATGTACTATAACATGGATAAACCTTGAAAACATGCTAAGTGAAAAAAAAGCCAGATCAAAATGATTCCATTTATATGAAATTTCCAGAATGGGTAAATCCATAGAGGCAGAAAGCAGATTAGTGGGTACCAAGGGCTGGGAGGAGGGGAGAATGGGATGAGGAGTGACTGCCAATGGGTACAGGTTTTCTTTTGGGGTTGATGGCAATGTTCTAGTATTAGAGTGATGGTTATGCAATCTTGTGAAAATACTGAAAAACCACTGAAATAAACAGTTTAAAAAAGTAGTGGGTATGTGACTCGGATTTTGCATTATAAAATAAAAGATCCACAAACCACTCTTGAAGGGTGGGGGTAAGGGAATACAAAGATCACTTTCATATTGGCAACATAAAGACTTGCTGGGGAAGCAAATTTGATTATCTAATTGGTAGGTGTGGGACCAGGTAGGAAGAAAGACCACGGTGACCGAGGGGAGATACAAGCGTTAGAAGGACCAGCCTAACAGGGTAACTGTCAGTGAGGGGTCCCCAGAGGAGTGACAGGGACTCTACCAGTGCAGAATGGAAGTTTGCAGGAAGGGGAGCTAAGACATGTGGAGCTTCCCAGTGAAGGGCCTTCCCTGGTTGGGACTGGAGCCAAGACAAATGTGTCATCCCCATAATTTGGCACTTTCTTGACACTGGCATCTGTATCTCTGAGGCACAGGTTGCACAACCAATTTGTTGAACAAGCAAGTTTTATACAAACACATTTATATTTCAAAGCACAATAAATTAATCTGTATACTAAGACAAAGAAAGTAATGAGGCTTGCAAATACCATCTGTATGAACTTAAGGGCATAAAATACTCTAAATTTATCTTTTAGAGTACTTAAAAACAGCCTTAATCATAATTTTCTCACATTTTACTAAGATAGATAAAGAAAATACACAATGCAAAGATACTACATATTTGAAAACTGCAAGACCAACTGATACTACAAACTACTTGAAAGGAATTTTTTTTTTAATTTCAATCCTACAAGTGGACTGACAGTTTAAACTGTGTTTAATGAGAATATACTTAGATTTAGAAGCACATTATGTCCCTTCAGTTCAGTTCAGTTGCTCAGTTGTGTCCGACTCTTTGTGACCCCATGAATCGCAGCACTCCAGGCCTCCCTGTCCATCACCAACTCCCAGAGTCCACCCAAACCCATGCCCATCGAGTCGGTGATGCCATCCAGCCGTCTCATCCTCTGTTTGTCCCCTTCTCCTCCTGCCCTCATTATGTCCCTTACAAATGTTGTACTGGAATAGCTGAAGGGCTGTATTAGTAAATTCCTATACTACTATTAACATGTTCATAGTTTTAAGACCAATATAAAAAAAAAAGAAAATCCATTAAGACCCTACCTTGTTCATACTCCATTAGAGCCTTTCAAGGGGCTGGTGGCTGAATTAGCACAGCTTTTAAAACAGAAGTGGCTCCTTAACTAGCTCATTCACTTAGGCAAGAAAGAGACTATTAGTGGATTTTCTGGGTTCAGTATTCTGTAGCTCTTTACTAATTTCTTTGATTACAACTAAGGGCTCCTTTTTTTCCCCACTCAGAGAGCTCTGCTTATACTCCCATGATGGCACTAATTTCACTTACACTTTTCTTATAATCGCTTGTTTGTAATTCATCTTCATTAGATAACATGCTTCCAGAAAGCATGGATATTATTGTCTTACTGGCATCTGGGAAGCTTCCAGCACAATGCTTTAAAAACAGAGGGCCCCTAAAAAATGTTAGAAGACACACATCACATCACCCTGTGATCAGAACATAACAATGGCTTTCTTCCTCATTCAGGCCCTCTAAGGTCTGACTCCAGCCCCTCTGGACGCTCTCCCCAAACTCTGTCCCCCCTCAAACTGCTCCCCCGCACCACCCTCCTGACTGAGCCCACAACACACCCAGCCTGCTGCTGCCTCAGGGTCTTCCTTCCCACTTACTGCTCCTTCTGTCTACAATACTCTCTCTTAAATGCGCTTTCACCAGCTATCTACATAGCCTGGCCCTCGCTTCACTCATCTCTGGTAAAATGTTATCTTATCATTTTGTACAATATTGCCACACACTCCTTCCCACTCCACCCCTCCCCTCAACTCCTTTCATGCTCTGTTCTACAGGACTCGTGGACATCCAATGTACTGTGTCTAATATTCATTTCATCATTAGCATATAAGGCCCATAAACGCAAGGACTGGGCCTTTGTTCACCCATTATCTCAGCATCTAGAAAGATGAGACTCCTTGCGGGATCTCACATATTTACTGAGTGAGTGAAGACTTGTGAGCTTAATTTCTGTGTGACTCTTGACAAGTCATTCATTAAACCCTTGTATGATGAAGTTTTTTCTGTAATATAAATGAGTTTTTCTACAATTAGGAAGAATAGACCCAAAATTCAACTTCAAAAAAAAAAAAACTTGAGAGAAACAGAAAGGTAACTTCTATAAATGGTGACTCTACAGAATTAGATTAATCTGGGCAATTACTTGGCAGCATTTCCATAAAGAAGATTTAAGTATGGGTAAAGTGTTAGTCTAGATGATAGAAGATGTTGGTCTAGATTAGTTAAGGTACCTTCTAATCTTGACATTCCATGATTCTATAACCAGATGATCAACAATTTCCCTGTGAGCTAGAAAAATGCTATGATTTTAAATGTACCTTGAATACATGGTTGAAATAAAATGTTAAAACAAAAAAGATCTGAAAGATTTCCATTATGTTCAACTATGTTCACCACAGTTACCTTTATGTGTCAATTCTCAGTTGTGATAGATGCAAGTTAAATGTAAATGATTACTAGAGTTTTCAATCACAATGGCATTGTGATTATAACAGAAGTGAGTACATGACTAGAAACACAGGCTTTAGTTAGGCCACCAGGTCCAAATCCTAATTTGCCACAGGTTCTTGATCAAGATACTTTTCCACACACTTTGTAAGCCTCAGTTCCCTATCTGTAAGACAGGGCCAGCCAAGGATAACAGTGATCGTCTCACAGGGCTGTTATGAGGATTAAATGACTTACTGTTACCTATTATTTCTTTAAGCACAGAATACTCTTTTCACATATGCATCCCAATCATCCATAAGTCAATTCTCAGGTCCATTTCAAATTTAGTGTTCTCAAAGG